TTCAATAAAATGTCTTTTCTTATATTTTCTACTTACACTGGCTTTTTACTGTTGACTTTTCTATCAGATATGTGGTTTGCCAACATCTTATCCCAGTGTATCATTTGTCTTTTCATCTTCTTAACGGGCCCTTACATAGAGCAAACATTTTTACAATGATGGTGTCCAGTGTATCTTTTTTCTTCTATGAATCACGCTTCAGTGTCATGTTTAATAAATGTTCACCAAGTCTTAGGTCGCAAAGATTTTCTGCATTTCCTTTTAAAATTATATTGCTCTATACAATGATACATCCTGAGTTAATTTTTGTATAAGGAGTGATGTTAGGCCAACTTTTTTTTTTTTTTCTTTTGCCTTTGGATGTCCAATGGCTCAATATACTGAAAAATACTGCTTTTTTTTTTTTAATTAAGACACGATATACCTCTGCTAAATAATTTTCTTCCCAACAATTTTCTATGAGTATGCCACTGCTGCCCTGCTCTATTAAGTGAGATTTTCCCAGGTCTTAACTTGCTAACACTGCATCTCAACAAATAAAATGAGTACGTGTTATTGTCAGCTTTTTCAAAAAATTAAAAAAAAAAAAAATGGGATGTAAAAATAACTTTCCCTTACACTCTCTGCATGCATTCTACCATTCTGCTAGTATTCTCATTTCTATAAAGGAAAATGACATTTTTTTTCTCTCCTGCACTGATAACACATGGTCTGTTTGGCATGTAAAAGTCCTCTCTTTTTATTGAAATAATTTCCACCCTCTCTTCCTTTAAATCCACAAGATAGAGTGTGTACATGTACATGCACATAATTTGGTCTTCAGTATTAAGACAAAGCCTCCCTGAAATTAGAAACTTAATTTTTTTTCTCATTTTGAATATGCATGTCTCCAATACTGAGCAGACACTTACCCTCTTCATGCCTCCTACCACTGGCTGACCACAGGACAGTTTCCTCAGGATGAATGAATTAATGATGAAATGCTGGTGATTGTTATGGGGGCATTGACCACCACATCTTCATGTCTGACCGCCTTGGATAGTTGTCCTTATAACAACATTATCTCCAACCACAGCTCACTGAGCTGAGAATGTTCCTGGTCTTTATGAAAGCCAAGGGCACCTCTTCCCTGCAAGCTGGATATGGTTTTATCCAGGCTCTCTTTTCCTAGCTGGATGGCATTGTCTGTCCTAACATTACTGACAGCACAGTGACAATGTGGTTGTCTGTAGAATCAAGCCTTCAAGACTTCATTCTGACTGGTCCAAAGGCATCTCCAAGCAACCACTGTGGGTGCAATGAATTATCTGGACAGGGGCTCGAATTCCTCAACACAAACAGCTCAAGGCAGCTCTTCACACTTTTCTGATATCTCTGAAAAACAGAATTTTCTCCATGGTGCCATGCTTGTGCCAGTTCCTTTGCACAATGCAGAGTAGAATCTGTATTTTAGCTCAGCTCAAAAGAGATTTTATCTCTTATGATACGGATTCAGGAAGATTGTGTCTCTTATGATGTGGACTTTTGGCTTCCTATAGAAAACTAAACTTGCTTGTTTGCCCTAAAAAGCTTAAAGTTGACAATTATCTCAGAGATACAACTTTTATTTTTCAAAAGAGAAAAAAAAAAGCACAAAAATATGGCTAGCATTTATTATCTGCAGCAAATTAATATAAATAACAACTCTAGATTGTGAATTTTAGTTTCTCATAAAATCCTGGATTCTTTCAGAGGAAAAGAGGTCTCTTCACGGATGCTTTGACAGATCACAAGTAGATGGGTTCATAGTGACAAAAATCTTTGTGTACTCTGACTTCTTTTGTCTTTTATCATTAAATGTGATAGGGAAGGAAAGAAGGAAAACCATGAAGAAAGTATTATGAATGGGTTACTTGGAAGCTGAGTTAGGTCAACATGCAGCTTACAGATGAGGTAGAGAGATTCCAAACATATTTCATTAGAAATACCACATTTTTCTGTGATCAGCCAGGAGATAAGTCTCCATGGTTGGTTAGCCCCGTAGAAGGCCAGCATGTTACACAGGAGCGACAGTTGCATGCATCACAGTTTGCGTGTGTTTAAAACGTATTTGAATGGCTGTCTCCCTCCTCTTCTCTTATTCAGAGTTTGCTTTTTGTGAGCATCCAGGACCGCCAGCTCACACATTTCCGCTTTAAACTCTTGCACTCCCTCCCCTTCCTTAAGTAAATCTGTCTGCCAATCCAGTCTCTGTCCACTGAGGCACCTTAACCCTGGGGCCACCGAGCTGGGATCCATTAAAGTCCAGGCAGACTAAGGCTCTGGGTAAAGGCCAGCCCAGCTTGGTCACAGAAATTAATTCCAGGATCCTCATGTGACCCACAGGGAACAGAGGGAACATGCTCTAAGAAGGAAACTTTTATTTCTTTTCTTTAAGGGACAGTGTCTTGCTCTGTCACCCAGGCTGGAGTGCAGTGGCGTGATCTTGGATCATTGCAGTCTTGAACTTCTGGGCTCCAGCGATCCTCCCACCTCAGCCTCCCAAATGGCTGGGGCAACAGGCATGTGCCACCACATCCAACTAAGGAATCTTTTTGTTAACGAAAGAAGCTGAGAGACCAAGAACTCAGTAGGTGCCTCAATTATTCACACATGTCTGCACTAGAACCAGTGAGAACCCACCTGGAAGTCGAGACCTTCTCATAAGCTGTGACATTGAGAGGTGGCTATTCCAGGAGCACAGGCATTTCCTGTGGCACCACCTTGGATTCCATCCAGGACCCTGGGCTTCTGCAGAAGCCCCACCCATGAACTTTCACTTGTATCTTATTGGGCAGATCGCTAGCACATGACCACACAAAGGTCACTGGGAAATGTAGTGTTTTTTTTTTTTTTAAAGCTGAGCACATGATATCGCAAACATAACCTGGATTCTGTAGATAAGAAGAGGGGAGAATGGTCACAGGCCAGTCAAGTATTGCCCACATGAATAAAGAACCCTATAAGGAGGTACGGATAAAAATACTTTTTTAAAATGAAGAGTTTAAAATAATCCCCCCTTTAGGAGCAAGGCTAGAAATGGGGAGCAATGGAAAAGAACAATTGCATTTTTTGTCGCGCGCCTTTCTGGATCACTGATGTTTGATTATAAATCACATATAGTCCCATGAGCTGAGAGAAGTCAGCAATACTTCCATTCAAGTGCATTTCCTTACTCTGTTCCCATGTGAAAACTGCACTTTGCATATTTGTTCTGACTCTGCAGTGACTTCCTCTTATCTGGACTCCTGACTGACTTGAAATCCACTCTCTGAAAGACGTGTAATTTTTTTCTATACAGTCTTTTTGAATAAGAATATACATTTGCATTGGGAGTAGGAGGTGGATTTAGAGTAGTTATGAAGAAAATATTTTATGAAGACAAGAATGGCTTTAAACACTTCATTCAAAGAAAAGTAAACCAACTAAGGTCAGAGACAAGTGTGCTCATTCTAGGCACACACATATATTCAAATGAAACCAGAGAAAGATACCCCCTACCACCACGATCACAGCCCTGCTTACCAGAAGCATTTGTGAGGACAGGACACTATGTTTCCTGCAGTGTTCAGGGGTGGGTGCAGGGGAAACCGGCAGCATTTTAAAAGCATAGAGAGCAATATTTGTAAAGAACTGAGTCTCTTGAGCTATCTGGGAGCCTGTAGTCTCAAGAAAGGCAGATTTTCCTAGGATTCCGGGCTGTGTTTAATAATTTCTAAAATGCAAATGCAACTGTTTAACATCAGCTGGCAGCAAGTTTCTACCCACGTGTTTCCAGCCAAGCTTTAAGAGTCTCAGGAAGGACAGTGGAGGGGAAGAGCAGATGATTCCCATTGAGGAGGATTTGGCTTTAACTATCAGGCACAAGGGACTGGAATCTAACCTGAAGCCCAGGAGCAAGAAGCAGAAGGTGCAGAGGGGCTGTGCACCCAGCCAACCCAGTGAGTATAACCCACTGGGCGGCAAGCAAAAGACATTCTAGCTTTTTCCTCCTAGGACCTCAGCAGTTGCTGTAGGCTCTGCCACCTTTCTGGTCAAGCTGAGATATCTCTCCTTGCCTGCCCTGCGGTCACCACTCCTATGCCAGGTGGGAAAGACTCCTGGTGCCAGCTGTTCCCAAATAACTCAGAGACTGCCTGTCCCACGCTCCCTGCCTAATCTGCACTACCACCGCGACCCAACTTGCACATCATAAAAATGGCAATAGTCATTATGCCAGCTGGTCTCATAGTAAATGCTCCAGGAACTATGCTAGGTGCCCACCTTGCCCATTAAATTCCCTCCTCTCCAAGAGGCCATGAACTCCCATATGGAGACGACAGGACTCCTGGGAAGCCCAGGTAGGTTCCAGAGACTCATATCCAACGCCCCCAGACACCAGCGTCTCTGAGCTCCACAGTCCCTACCTGCAACCTCCAAATCACACTGGACTGAATTTGGCACTTAGGAGGAGTCGCGGATTTCCGCAAGCTGCGTTGTGAGGGCGCGTTCCTCCTTGGTTGGAGAGAAGATGTTCAGAAGGCCAGACTCTCCGCCTGGGCACCCCAGTCCCAGTTTGACAAATTGAAAGTCGAGTCGGGGTGGGAGGTGGGATGCGACCCTATGCTTTGGGCAAAGGAGATGCACATAACCGGGCCCCACTTCCTGGATCTTGGGTGCCACGCTGTGTCTCAGTTTGGAGTGGACAATAAACATTATGCCTCAGCCATTCTTCCTCTCACTTCCCGACAGTATCTGGCCTGATTCCAGTGCTTCAGGTGGTTCCAGGTTGAGTATCTGAAGATCTCAGAATGGCCACATTTGCCCCCACTCTCCTAGCCGGTGGCTAGCAGGGTCCGCCCAGTGATGGGAGGAGCGACTCCACGTCCCAAATTAGGCGCTCCTGGTGGCACCGGCGTCCTTTCCGGATCTCTCCAACAACTCAAGTTCAAGCTCCCTCCGACCCCAGCGTCCCGGGAGAAAGACGCCCACTCCTGTCTTACCTTCGCCGGGCACCGCGCTCAGCAAGCAGCTCTGAGCCCAGCACGGCCAGGGGACCACACCCTCGGAGCGCAGCCAGCATCTCCGCAGCTCCTGTGCCGGGCCCCGGCCCTCGCCCCGGCAGCCGAGTCTGCCGCTCCAGGTTGCGTCTCCAAAGGTCGCTACCCGCCCCTGCAGAGTCCTGGCCGCGCTGACTCGCGCTCTGGTGGCTGGCGCTGCGACCAGGACAACTCTTCCCCAGACCCCGCGGCCACTCTGCCACGCCCGAAACTCAAGCCGCGCCCAGCCCACCTGCGCTTTGCTCCCAGCTGCGCCCCGCCCCAGACGCAGGCGGAGAAAGTGCGCCCCCGCGGGCGGGAAGAGGCGTGCCTGGGAGAGTCCCGCTAGGTCCCGAGAGAAAGGCTGGAGGTAGAGCGGGGCGGCTCCTGCAAGCGTTCGGGAATTCGCTTCTGTCCTCCCTAAACTCAACTGTAACTGCCTCTGGCCTTCGCTGTCTGCGGCGCAGTCCTGGAGAGTTCCGGCGCGGATCCACGCCTCACTGCGCCGGAGGCTGGAAGGCGCGCTCTTCCTGGGATGTGCGGATGCCTGGAATTCGAAATTAGAGCTGAGTATGTAAGAGCGTTTTGTTTTGTTTTGTTTTTTGTTTTGTTGTTGTTGTTTCTTTCTGGACGAGTCTCGCTATGCCGTCCAGGCTGGAGTGCAGTGGCGCGATCTCGACTCAGGCAACCTCCGCCTCCTGGATTCAAACGATTCTGATTCTACTGCCTCAGCCTCCCGACTACAGGCACCCGCCACCACACCCGGCTAATTTTTTTATTTTTAGTAGAGACGGGGTTTCACCGTGTTGGTCAGGATGGTCTCGATCTCTTGACTTCGTGATCCGCCCGCCTCGGCCTCCCAAAGTGCTGGGATTATAGGCATGAGCCACCGCGCCCGGCCAGGAGTTCTTAAATAAAAGTTTCTTCAAGAAAGGGACTGGAGAGTGGGAATGGAATAAACAGTAATTCTTCTTGACTGCAGGAGGTAGAATGCAGCAGAGAAACTTCTTCAACCAAAAAGATTAACTGTAAAATATTGATTCTTACAGTTCTAGATGATAGCAGAAAATGATTTTTTAACGAATTATGCAAATCTCTCAGTTCTCCACTACAGATGGTCACTCCATAGCTCCACTACAGATGGCCACTACCACTACACTTTAGTGTCAGGGACGATTATTTTTGCAGCCCAAGAGACTGGAGAATTTTTCTTTTTATGTCAAGCTAGCCTCTCAAGATGAGTGAGAATTAAAACATATTCCATTGTTACTGGCTGAGGGATTGGGACATGCTGGGCCTTCTCCTACTCCTGTTTAAAATAATAAAAATAATTTTAGAAGCCAGGAAATTCTCCAGCTCCTGATCTACTTTGTCTTAGCAGTTCCACCACTGGCAGCTGGCCTCTCTACTCCCCCGCCCCACCCCCGCTCCGCCACACACCTTTCCACACAGAGGAGCCAAACACAAGTCCTGGACCAAAAATACAGTGAGGAAATCGTCAGGGAAGTCCCAGCCTGGCTGATGTCACATAGGCGAGGAGTCCTGGCTGAGAGAGGCTTCCTTTACTTTCTCTGTCCCTACCTAATCTCACTCCCTTATGTGTGACTAAAGAGAACACTATTTACTCACCGTTTGTTGTGGGCAATGCACTTTCTATGATTTTGTTTATTTAGTGAGTTAGTTGCTTACAGTCTGTCCTGGATGCCTCTGTCTGCCCCTACTCCCCATCCAAAATGTAACCTCCATGTGTTTGACTTCTTAAGTGCTCAGCCCTGAATTCTCAGAACCTCAAACAGTGCCCGGCACAGTGTATCCAATCAAACAATTATCAAAGGAATGGATCTTGCGTATATGCAAGTTATCATGACCCATTTTACCAATGAGGGAACCTAGACTAGATTGAGAAATGGTAAGAGAAGATCAGCTAGTGGTAATAATGATGCTGACGATGAAAATATTTACTGAATGCTTGCTTTGAGTAGGGCATTATCCTAAATGTAACACTTGGCTTAAATCTTCATGTTACAGGAAAGGGGGCCCCATCCAGATGCCAAGAGAGGGTTCTTGGATCTCACACAAGAATTCAGGGAGAGTCCACAGTGCAAAGCAAAAGCAAGTTTATTAAGAAAGTTAAGTGTTGAAAGAACAGCTACTACATAGTCAGAGTAAGACATTCCCAAAAGTAAGAGGAGGAACGGGTCCACCCTGGGTACAATACTTGTTTATATACAGGATTAAAAAAGATCGTGGGGAGATGTGCTCTGCTACAAGGGTTTATGATAAAGGATTAATTTTTTAATTACTATAGTTTGCAAGATAGGCATTATGATTTTTAAAGCAAAATTAGCAAAATGTTTCTGTTCTCAAGACATCGGGATATCAGGACTCTCAAGTCTGGGTCTGTTTAATAAATGTTATCAATCTGTTCCCTTAACCGTATACATCTAGAGGCTAGGCATACCTAACTTCCTGGGAATGCAGGCCAGGAAGCCCGAGCCTCATTTTCTCAGCCCTCACTCAGGATGGAGTTGCTCTGGTTTGAACGCCTCTGACAATAAATCTTCATAAACAGCCATGGGTATACGCTGTTATTATACCTATTTCACAGGCAAGAAAGGAAGTGTAGTAACTCGCAATGCCACACTGCTAGTACATGGTGGAGCTGGAATTCAAAGGTAGATGTTCTGCCTTCAGAGTCCACATCTGCTACTCCTTCACTAGACTCATTTGTGCTAGGAAGTGTCTGGAATTCATGACCCTCCCTTACACCAGGTATCTTCATGATCTGTGTTGCCCATCACTTCCAGGTCATCCTTCTGTGTCAGGTCTTGCCCGCTAGACTTTTCTACTTCAAGTGAAAGGAGGAGAAGCATTGATTGATCACTTGTACTGCACAGAGCAGAAATGCACACAAAACCATCTCCTCTCAGGGCTGAGATCTACACTGAAGTTATCCTCTGAAATGTCAAGCTACCCAAAGGGAATTTTTTTTTCTTTTTCTTTTTCTTTTTTTTTTTTTTTTTGAGATGGCGTTTCACTCTTGTTGCCCAGGCTGAGGTGCAATGGCACGATCTCAACTCACTGCAACCTCTGCCTCCCAGGTTCAAGAGATTCTCCTGCCTCAGCCTTTAGCCCAGCTTCCCTGGCAGCTTTTGCCCTGTGTTATTAACTTCTCTGATTGATATCCAAATGCCTATTCTTGTCATTTAGCCTGGTCCCCTCCTGGCCACTGCATGAAGCACTGGTTGTGGCAGAAAATCTGCAGTCTGGAGTGTTCACCCACCATATTCCACTCTGGGCTCAAGATCATAAAACCATCCATTTAGTGCCAACAATAGCATGATAATGCTCAGATTCTGTTACAAATGCAATTAGTTCATCACATAGCCATTTCCTTTATTCGGTTTTCACACATTACGATAAGAGCTAACACTCAGGTGGCCCTTCATATGAGCTGGCTTTGCATGTATTGAGTCCATTTAATCCTCACAACACCCCTATGAGGTTACTATTTTTATTATTCCTTTTTAAAGGTGAGAGATGGACATGAAGGAGTTAAGGTTTATAAAAATAGTAATTGGAAGACATAAAATTGAAACTCAGGCAATTTGGCTATAGAGGCCACATTTCAAACCATATCACTAGTCCGCCTCCCTGTGTGCTCTCCTAAAAATATGACACCCAAACTCAGTTTATCAAAAAACACCACGTTTTGGTAAACTCTTTTTTCTTTCACAAAACCACATTTAATGCACTTCATTCCAGCAGGATCATAGTACTCTGTTGAGATGGGTTTGTTTTACACTTAAATTATGATATTATTAAGTGTAACTCACAGAGAACACAAAATTTGGGGTGGAAACACAAAAAGGATTGTGTTATGAAAGAACTAATTAACCCCACATGACTCAAGGCCAGAGTGGTCACTCAGCAGTCATTTTCCATCGCCGCAGTGGTAGTGACAGCAGAATTGGCTCACATGGTCTCTGTAATAACAAACTAGACAGAATAATCCTCGTTTACTGTTTCCTCTTTCCTTATCTCTGGAGCTTTGTTGGTTTCTACCATCCCCAGCGCTAGTCTCCCACCATGCCACCACATGGCTGTGCCTACACATCCTCCTGAAAATGCTCCTCTTCTCAGAGGCCAGAGCCAATCTCTTGCTTACAATCCATGAAGCAAAAATTGCACTAGGCAAAATTAAACAGACTTCTTTAATGCACGACTTGTGCCATAGGAGAGAAGGGCCAGAACTTAGACTGGGTTCAACTCAGCTAAAACAAAGGTTGTAAGGATTTTTAAATATGAGAGTAAGGGGGAAAACACAGGCCATCTGTGTTTGCTCTTTGATTAAAAAAAAAATTTTTTTTAAATCAATGTTCTGAGAAGATCATGCTGAGTTTCATGAACATGTGAGATACTCTCCTAATTAAAAGCAACCATTAATTGATCTTTAAGTCTGTTTACTCCAGTTGGTCAAACACTTTTCATAAAATCCTACTCAATTTTCAGCAAACCCTCTGGTTATACAGTAAATCAACATCCAAGTTGGTAATTACTGCAGCCTGGGTTAAGTAATTTTTACTGGGTGAGAATTTTAATTAATGAAAACAATTCAAAATGTGTGTCAGTATCTTAGGATAGTGGTAATCCTGGGCTATCAAGTGTGGGATTTCTGGGAGGTCAGGTGGTATAAAACAGATGGTGGGAAATGAGGCAGGTGGATTAGCATCATTATTGAAACCAGCAATAATGTTAAATACAACCAAAATTGGCATAATAACGTTCAAGCATGATTACAGCTTTATTCCTCACATCCCCAACATGGAAATACAGCACACAAAAATAACACTTACCAACTCTTAAAGTTTTCAGTTGACATGACAGATGTTAAATATCCTCCTCTCATGTGATGCTAAGACCTTGGCTACTTTATTACTCATACCTTGTTTCATAATATAGTACCCCAAAAGTCTCATCTCATTATAGCACTACAACATCAACTCCAAGTCCAGAATCTCACCACCTCTGTCAGATAATGATGCATGGCTCCCTACATGTGGTTCCTTAAATAAAGCTATTTGTATGCAGTTTCTCTCAATTTTAAGGCTTTGGGAACTAAATACATAACTTGTGTTCCTGCCCCCATGCACCCAACGCACAAAGCTTAAACAAGTATAGAATAATCAGACACCCTTGCTTAAAAGGAAGGAAAATGAGATCCGTAGGAGAGTAACCGTTCCGTAACAACTCTGAAATACAAGCAGAGGTATAATGGGAGTTTCGTGATCGGGGCCCAAGACCTGGGAATAATTCTCTATGGCTCCCAGCTCCAATCCCAGAATGGAGAAATTGCTAAAGAAAGCATGGGTTTGTAGCTGAGTTGTTTTCTTAGTTTGCTTTCTACCTGTAGAATTTTGGGGATAAAAATGCTGTATTTTATTTGATGTTCAAGATGGTCCTATTTGGGCTAATATGATTTTCTCAAACTCTTGTGGAACCCCTGTGAATCACATTGGTGTTCATTCCATTAAACAAAAGATACCATCATGACAGTGTCTTTTTTTTTTTTTTTTTTTTGAGATGCATTTTCACTCTCATTGCCTAGGTTGGAGTGCAATGGCGTGATCTCGGCTCACTGCAACCTCCGCCACCCAGGTTCAAAGCAATTCTCCCACCTCAGCCTCCTGAGTAGCTGGGATTACAGGTGCCCACCATCATGCCTGGCTAATTTTGTATTTTTAGTAGAGACGGGTTTCACCATGTTGGCCAGGCTGGTCTTAAACTCCTGACCTCAGGTGATCCATCTGCCTCGGCCTCCCAAAGTGCTGGGATTACAGGAGCGAGCCACTGTGCCTGGCAGAAAGTCTTTTATATAAGATGTAATCTCATAAATTTTACAGATGCTCACTTGTGTAATAGGCAGACTCTAAATTTTTCTAAAGGGCCTTTTGTGTGATGGAATAATGCTCTAATGTACCACCTATGAACTTTCTAAGGTCTTCACAAATGTTCTTATGGTCAAATCTTCAGTTCAACTCAAGAAAATATTTTTTTGCTAGTGCTTTGAATTTCTTCCTTGCTTGAGAGCCATTTCTTAATTTTTGCAATCAGAATTAATGTTTGCAATTAGAAGAGACCGAGAATTTTAAACATCACTCAGCTCCGGCTATTATTTTTTAAAGGCCTTCCCTCATTTTGTCTCTTTCTTCACCCATTTGACAATAATTAGCACCTTCAACATTCTGCTTGGGAATCCCCTTAGCTAGATCACCAAGTTGATCAGGCACATTTTCTACTTTCCACATTGTTGCAGGTGTCAGTTTTGCTAAGTTTCTGCCACAACGTAACAAAAATTCCCCTGTTCTGCTTTCTAATAACATGTTCCTCACTAACTTCTAAATTCCCAGAGCCCAGAACCACAGGACTACAACAATTGATTCAAGGCAACCTAAGCCTTCACTTATATACTCCTCAAAATCGTCTCAGCCTCTGCCCGCTGCTTGGTTCCAAGCAATGCTCATATTCTTATATTCTTTATGATTAGCACCTCATTTCCAGGACCTAACGTATTAACTTTTTTTATCACTTCATGAAAAACTTACCTAACATCATAACGGCTTAAGAAAACAACCATTTGTTATTGTATCATTTCGACGGGACACTTTAACCAGTTGCCTGTGGCCCAAGATCTTCAACAAGGCTGCAATCAAGTTGTTGCTCAGAGCTGCAGTCATCCCAAGACTTGATCGGATGAGATCTGCTCTTTCACTCACTTGCTCTGAGAAAATCAAGCTGCCATGTGCTAACCTGCCCAATAAAGAATCCCATGTTGCAAGAAAATGATGCCTCTGGCCAACAAGCATGAGGACTTGCCAACAGCCATGTGTAATTACAAGTTGGCTGGAAGCAGAGTTTGAAATCATATTTGGAGGAAGATATATTGGTTTGGGCACCAGAAAGAAGTGAGGCTACCTGAGATTTTGTAACAAATGAAAAGCAAACAAAAGGGCACTGTGAAATGAGATAAAAACGTAAGTAGGGGAGTAACTGAGGTCTTCATGTAGACGTTCCAGAGCTGCCATCAATCAAGCCTGTCCCCATGCCAGGGCTGGGACCTATGCTGGTTAGAGGCTTGGGCTCCTCCCACATTACAGAAACACATGGAAGCTATAAAATAACCTTCCTCTAAGCTCTTATCAATTAGGGTCCCAGGAGAAAACAATGCATGCTTAAATTGGGTAACTTGAAGACAGTTAAAGAGATTGTTTCAAAAGCAGAATAAGGCCAGGCGCGGTGGCTCACACCTGTAATCCCAGGAGTTTGGAAGGTCAAGGTGGGTGGATCACTTGAAGTCAGGAGTTCAAGACCAGCCTAACCAACATGGAGGAACCCCATCTCTACTAAAATTACAAAATTAGCCAGGCATGGTAGTGCATGCCTGTAATCCCAGCTAGTCAGGAGGCTGAGGCTGAGACAGGAGAATTGCTTGAACCCGGGAGGCAGAGGTTGCAGTGAGCCAAGATCGTGCCATTGCACTCCAGCCTGGGCAACACAGCAAGACTCCACCTCAAAACAACAAACAACAACAACAAAAACAACAAAAAGCAGAATAAGTATTTAATATGGTGAAATAAGAACAGCAGATCAGGGGCTAGTAAGAATAAGGTTATATATCTCCTGTTCCTCAAGAGAAAAGGAAGGGAACGGTTTCTAGAACCAGGAAAGGGGGGTTCTAGAAGGTTTCTACAACCAGGAAAGGGAGGCTGTTTGACAGAAGCCATGACCTTTGGTAAGAGGACACAGAATATCTCCAGTGACCTAAAGGGAGAGAACTAGGGAAAGCGACATCCAACCTTGTTCTTCCCACTTGCCAATCTCCTAGAGATGTCTCTCTCAGGCCAAACCCATCAGGGAGCCAGAGGACAAGGAAACCCAGGCTATCACCCACAAAGGTCACCTCCTATGGGCACAAGCAGGGTGCAGAGGGTGGAAAATTGATCTTGAAGGCAAATGGAAGATAACTAGCACTCCTTATGGCTTGCGACACCACCTACCATAGGGAGGTAGACACAGGAACCAGAGAGATAGTGACAAGTCTATCACATTTGTTAATGGTAGAACTCTATCAGAGGATGTCCCTGGCCTGTGCACACAGTCAGGTATCCTAAGTGGACCTCCCACCAGAACTCTGCCCTCTCCTGACAGGCACAGGCCATGCCCATACTCTTCCCCACAGAGCTGGGGAGAGGCCCACAACTCTGAAAAGAAAGTGATGAATGGTTGTGCTGAACATGCCTGGTTCCTGATCCCAAGTTTAACTGTCATGTCAATCACTTTCTCCAAGGGCAGGGATGATGGATGCAGGGAGAACAAGATGCAAAGAGGTCCTTACTATCCTCAGCATAAATGGGGAAGCAGCTCACTACAGGAAAGCAAAACAAAACAAAGCAAAACATGATGGAAATTGAATATCCTCCCTTCAAAAGTTTACAAGGTGAAAAATCGAAGTTGTATGTGGTCAAGTGTTTATTTGCAAATCATTTTCATTTCCTCCAGCGCACAGGAATGTGCTTAATGTCACGGACAGCTCACACAGAGAGAGGCCTTCAGGAGTTCATGCCATTCATGTAAAAGAACATGAGATTCACACCTCCAACCTCATCACACTCTGAGGCATTCGTTCACACCTCCACCCTCATCACACTCTGAGGCATTCGTTCACACCTCCACCCTCATCACACTCTGAGGCATTCATTTACATCTCTACCCTCATCACGCTCTGAGGCATTTGTTCACACCTCCACCCTCACTCTGAGGCATTCGTTCACAACTCCACCCTCATCACACTTTGAGGCATTTGTTCACACCTCCACCCTCATCACACTCTGAGGCATTCTGTCACACCTCCACCTTCATCACACTCAGGCATTTGTTCACACCTCCATGTTCATCACACTCTGAGGCATTCATTCACACCTCCACCCTCATCACACTCTGAGGCATTCATTCACACCTCCACCCTACACTTTGAGGCATTTAATACCTCCACCCTCATCACACTCTGAGGCATTCTGTCACACCTCCACTCTGTCACACCTGGCATTTGTTCACACCTCATGTTCATCAGCACTCTTAGGCATTCATTCACACCTCTCCACCCTCATCACACTCTGAGGCATTCATTCACACTCCACCTCATCACTCATTCACACTCCCCTCCACACTCATCATCACACTTCTGAGGCATTCTGTCACACTGCCACCCCCTTTATCACACTCGTGCATTTGTTCACCTCCACGTTCATCACACTCTGAGTATCTATTCACATACACCTACCCCTCATCACACTCTGGAGGCATTCGCTCACCTCCACCCTCATCGCACTCTGAGGCATTTGTTCACAATTCTCCACCCTCACTCTGGAGGCATTCGCTCACAACTCTACCTCATCACACTCTGAGGCATTTGTTCACACCTCCACCCTCATCACACTCTGAGGCATTCTGTCACACCTCCACCTCATCGCCACCTGTGCATTTGTTCACACCTCCACCCCCTCACTCTGAGGCATTCCGTTCACAACTCTACCCTCATCACACTCTGGAGGCATTTGTTCACACCTCCACCTCATCACACTCTGAGGCATTCATTCACCCCTCCACCCTCATCACACTCTGAGTATTCATTCACACCTCCACACTCATCAACACTCTGAGGCATTCATTCACACTCCACCCTCATCACACTGTGTGAGGCATTCTGTCACAGCTCCACCCCCTCAATACACCCAGGCATTTGTTCTGACACCTCCACAAGTTCATCACACTCTGAGGTACTTCCATTCACACTTCACTCCTCATCACACTCTGAGGTATCTGTTCACACCTACCCTCATCACACTGAGACTATTCACACCTCCACCCTCATCGCATCTGAGGTATCTATTCACACCCCCACCCTGGTCACACTCTGAGGCATTCGTTCACACCTCCACCGTCATCACACTCTGAGGCATTTGTTCACACCTCCACCCTCATCACACTCTGAGGCATTTGTTCACACTCTCCACCTCATCACACTCTGAGGCATTCGTTCACCTCCACCCTCATCACATTCTCTGAGGCATTCATCTTACACTCACACTATCACACTCTGAGGCATTCATTCACACCTCCACCTCACACTGTGAGGCATTCTGTCACAGCTCCACCCTCATCACACCCAGGCATTTGTTCACACCTCCACGTTCATCACACTCTGAGGCATTCATTCACACCTCCACCCTCATCAGTATCACACTCTGAGGCATTCGTCTACACCTCCACCCTCATCACACTGAGGCATTCATTCACACCTCCACCCTCATCGCACTCTGAGGCATTCATTCACACCTCCACCCTCATCACACTCTGAGGCACTGTTCACACCTCCACCACTTCTGAGGCATTTGTTCACACTCTCCACCTCACTGCTCCACCCTCATCACACTGAGGCATTCATTCACACCTCCACCCTCATCGCACTCTGAGGCATTCATTCACACCTCCACCCTCATCACACTCTGAGGCATTCGTTCACACCTCCACCCTCATCACACTCTGAGGCATTTGTTCACACCTCCACCCTCATCACACTCTGAGGCATTCATTCACCCCTCCACCCTCATCACACTCTGAGGCATTCATTCACACCTCCACCCTCATCACACTCTGAGGCATTCGTTCACACCTCCACCCTCATCACACTCTGAGGCATTTGTTCACACCTCCTGTGTTGCAGTCCTCATCCACCAGCTCCACTCATCACACCCAGGCAGCTGGCTCCACACCTCCACGTTCATCACCTTGCCTCCTGGTGACTGTTCACACCTCCACCCTCTCTGTCCTCCCCACTCTGAGGCATTCGTTCACACCTCCACCCTCATCACCTGGGCATTCATTCACACCTCACCCCTCATGCCTCTGAGGGCAGGCGCTAGTCACACCTCCACCCTCATCACGCCTCCGGGGCATTGGTTTGCCACACCTCACCACTCTGTCCACACTCCTGAGGCATTTACAATTTCTACTTGCCTCCCCACCCTCATCTGCTCTGAGGCATTTGTTCACCTCCACCTCATCACAATCTGAGGCATTCTGTCACACCTCCACCCTCATCACACTCTGAGCATTCGTTCCTACCTCCACCCTCATCACACTCCCAGAGGCGATTTGTTCACACCTCCACCCTCATCACAATCTGCGGGGCGTTTCTGTCACACCTCACCCTCATCACAATCTGGGGGGCATTCTGTCCACCTCCACCCCCTCCTCATCACCTCTAAGGCTGTCATTCCCCTCCCACCCTCATCACTCCTGACATTTGTCCTACCTCATCACTCTGGGCATTTGTTCCTCCCCACCTTCATCACACTCTGAGGCAATTTGTTCCACACCTCCACCCTCATAGAGGCATTTGTTCACACCTCCACCCTGCTCCTCTGAGCCCATTCGTTCACGTCCCACCCCCTCCCATCCTCTATGAGACATTCGTTTCCTCACCCTCATCACACTCTGAGGCATCACCTCCACCCTCATCACACTCTGAGGCATTTGTTCACACCTCCACCTTCATCACACTCTGAGGCATTTGTTCACACCTCCACCCTCACTCTGAGGCATTTGTTCACACCTCCACCCTTATCACACTCTGAGGCATTCGTTCACACGTCCACCCTCATCACACTCTGAGACATTCGTTCACACCTCCACCCTCATCACACTCTGAGGCATTTGTTCACACCTCCACCCTCATCACACTCTGCGGCATTCATTGAGTGGAAGAAAGAACAGAATCATCTCTCATACAAAATGTATCTCTCTCTTCCTTTCTCAGTAGGGAACACGAGAGTTAAATTTGTATAAGCTCAAATTTTGTTTCATGTTGTTCACCATATAATATAAATCCACTTCAGAAATAGATATGCATAGAAAAAGTCACAAAAAATGATCACAAAATGTTAACTGTGCTAGAATGGGCAGAATATATTTGCTTTCTTGGACACTCTATTAAACATTTTTGGCAATGAACATATCTTGCTTTTACAACTTAAAAATGAATTGATAAATAGTTCTTACTTTATTACAGTTGACTTTCTATCTGGGAAGCTTGATGGAGGGTCCACTGCCACCACATTTTCTGAGATTCAGCTCTCAAAAGAGCAGTTGAAGTCTATGTGTATACATAGAGTAAAATACAAAGGATTGTAAAATCCAACCCCCTGAAATTCCAAGGGAGATTTTGAATAGGCTGCTGCTCTTGACTCTGCATGGAAGATGGTTATGATTTGCAACTTTTCTTTCCTTTAACTGATTGGGACCTCAAACTTGATTGTTTCATGAGAGACTCTAAATACACTGACTGGTTTTAAAAGATATTTTTAACATCCATCCCAAATGATGACCTTTGAGCCATCGAATTTATAACCACAGGATGGCAGCTCCAGGCAGGTAAGACCTTAACTGCAAAGCATTTTATTACCCTAGTCTTGATAATTATTTTTTTCTCAATCAATAAAGGACTCAGATTATGCAAACACATTAAAAATAAACTATACCCACTTTCTACTTGAAGTAAAAATGGAGAAAGTAAATGTATTTATTTCCCTCTTAATGTATTCTGTCTGTTAGAGGCCTCTGCACAGGAGCCAAAAGCAGGGAAGTTTCTTGAGACGTTATCTATTTTTGTGTTGTTGGTCAAGACCTATTAGTAGGTCATGAAACTGAATTAGTATGTTGCCATCAGCATTCAAAAAAATATATATAAACTTTTAGTTTCAGCTGTGACATGTAAAGAACTTAGAAGTCTTGATTCACATTCTTACAAAAAGTAAAAGGTGAATGAAGTTAGTATCAGTAACTTTTTTCTAACCCATGAGACCTGAGGTTTCAGGGTAACATCCAAGCCTGGAAAGGAAGGTGAACGGAGAGGGTCACAGCCGAGATCTGCTTACCTTGAACAGAAGACTCTGATGACATTAACCGGCATAAAGACTTAAATGGCAATTTTGATGGTCAAGTGTGGATTGTGTGAGATTCAGAAACTGGGGTATATTATGTGGGACCGGATGCATCCTTTCATGGATTTTACTTCCAGAAATCCTTCTAGATTCTTATGGTGAAGATTAGAGAAAAAATCCTCTAATGGCTCTTGCAGTGGGAGAGGAAGAATAATCATTGTGAAATATTTCCAGGGTGTTCCCCATAACGAAGAAATTATCTTCAAGGAAAAAGAATTTGCCAGAGCTCATTCCTAATGTGGGAAGGATACTGCTTCCACTCCAGCCCCCTAAGATCAGGAATAAGGCAAAGATGCCCCTTCTCACCACGTCTACTCCACATTGTATTTGAAGGACTGAGGTAATAAGATAAGGAAGGTTTTAAAAGGATATGGATTTGGAAGAAAGAAATAAAACTTTAAAACTGTATTTTCTCCCAAAGAGGACATGGTTGTCTATGAAGAAAACCCCAAAGAATCAATAACAAAACACTCTTGGAATTAACAACTAATTATAATGAAGTTGCAAGACACAAAGCTCATAGATTAATTCAATTACAGTTCTATACACCAGCGATGAAAACTTGTATTTTGAAATTAAAAACCTATTTTTGACATTAGCATCAAAAAATGAAATATTTAAGCATAAATCTAACATAATAAGTACAGCATTCGTATGAGAAAAACTACAAAGCTCTGATGAAAGAAAGTAAAGAAATAATTAAATGACGATTTTATCCATGTTCATGGATAGAAAGAAAATACGGTTAAAATGTTAGTTCTCCTGAATTTGATCTACAGATTATTTTCAATTTCAGTCAAAATATTACTAAGGTTTTTTGTGGATACTGATGAATTTTTTTCTAAATTTATGTAAAAAGAAAAAAACCACAGAATAATCACCACAATATTGAAAAAGAACAAAGTCAGAAAACTAACACTACCTGACTTCAAAACTTATATAGCTACAGTAATCAAGTAGTATTAGCAAAAAACAATAGTAGTAATAGGGAAATAGATAATGGAACAGAAAGTCCAGAAATAGACCCGCATAAATGTAGTGCACTGATCTTTGACTAAAAACAAATATGCAATTCTATTGAGAAAGATAGTGTTTCCAACAAATGATGCTGGAATGACTGGACATAAATATACAAAAGATGAATTCAGACATAGGCCTTATACTTTTAACAAAAATCAACTTTAAATTATTATAAACCTAAATATTAAACACACACTTTTAAATATTTTGTAGAAAACAATAACATAGAAGAAAATCTAGGTGGCTTTGGCTTCGTGGTTAAAACACCAAAAGCACAATTCATGAAAGAAAAAAATGATTAGTTGGACATCACTGAGATTAGAAACTTTTCTGCCCAACAAGACACTGTTTAGGAAATAAAAAGACAAGTCACAAACTGGGATGCAAAATATTTGAAAGTCCTTATTTTATATATATATATATATACACACACACACACACACATATACACACACACATATGTAGGACATTTAAATTTTTTTTAAATTTTTATATTTCCGTAGATTTTTGGAGAACAGGTGGTATTTGGTTACATGAGTAAGTTCTTTAGTGGTGATTTGTGAGATTTTGATGCACCCATCACCTGAGCAGTATAAACTGAACCCAATGCATCATCTTTTATCCCTCACCCTCTTCCCACCCTTTTCCCTGAGTCTCCAAAGTCCATTGTGTCATTCTTATGCCTTTGTATCTTCATAGCTTAGGTTCCACTTATGAGTGAGAACATAAGATGTTTAGTTTTCCATTCCTGAGTTACTTCACTTAGAATAATAGTCTCTAGTTCCATGCAGGTTGCTGTGAATGCCATTAATTCATTCCTTTTTGCCAGAAAAAAGGGGGCAAAAACTAGTTAAAACAATCTGAACAGACACTTCATTAAAGAAGACATACCAATGACCAGCAAGCATATGATGAGTCAGGACTGGAGTGACACATCTGCAAGTAAAGAGGTGCCCCAAGCTACCTGAAACTGGGAGAGAAGCATGACTTGGGTCCTTTCTAATGCTTTCAGAGGGAGCAGGGTTCTGCTGACGTCTTGATGTCAGACACCTGGCCCCCAGAATGTCAGAAAATAAATCCCTGCTGTTCTAAGCCATGCAGTCTGTGGGACTGCGTTATGGTAGTTCTGGGGAACTAATACAAAAACCAATTCCTGAAATAGATGCAGAGCAACAGGAAGCTGTTGTTTATTACTACTGGAAATGCAAAACAGTATAGGCATTTCGAGGAAAATTTGACAGTTTCTTACAAAGCAAGATATATTATTAACACATAAAAACAAGCACATTCCTAGGTATTAACATATAAAAACAAGTAAAGTTCAACTGATTTGAAATTTTATGTCTACGGAAAAGTGAGTGTTCTTAGATGATTACTCATAATTGCTAAAAACCAGAACGAACCATACACTAGGTGAATGGATAAATAAGTTGCTGTACATCCATACCACGCAACAGAATATTATCCACAGAGAGAAACACATGAGATATCAGACATATGGTACATCTTGAAACACGTGGGCGAAACTAAAATGTATGATGCTAAGTGAAAGAATCCAGTCTAAAATAGACTAGAAACTCTATTATTCCATTTATATGACATTCTGGAAAAAACAAAACCATGATGACAGTTAAAAATATCAGTGATTGCCAGAGTTCGAAAAAGAAGGAGAGAGTTGAAGCACAGAGAATAGTTTATGGTCATAAAGCTATTCTGCATGATATTGTAATGGTGGATATGTAACACCATGCATTCGTCAAAATCTATAGGACTCAACAGCACAAAGAGTTAATGTTCACGTATAAAAACGTTAAAAATTATGTAAAGATTTGGAGAAACCCAAGAAGAAATGGAGAATGTGGAGAAAGAACATATAACTGTATTAAAAATACATGAAACTACCTCACTGAATGGGGTGGAAGTTGAAAATTTGTGGAACCTGTAAGTCTATAGGCAAAAGAAACTGTACATAAGCACTATACCTTGGTTGATAAATGTATCTTCCGTACGAGGAGCTGGTTTAAAGTTATGATCACAATATATAGATGTATAGGAATTGAAAAAGTAAGCAAATGGAAGATGCTGAGATGCAGGATTCTCAATGTTGGCATGGACGGTTACAGTTAATGAAGGGAAAGAAAATAGACTGATTTGCGTAGTAATGGATTAGAGTTGGAGACATCAGCATGTATTCATGCTTATCTTAATATAAATACAAATAAATCTAAAATAATTATAGATATGTATATGTGCACAGGTTAGTATACACATGAAGATTCATATGCGCTGTCAGTTGAGAGGCCAAGAAGAAATGATATTGACAACAATGAACACACCTAGTGCTCAAAGGTTGCTTTCTAATGTCATTCTCCAGTAAAATGAACAATGATTCCTTGGAGAAATGCCTGATTA